GTTTGCATTGAGTGAAGCACTGAGAGAATTAGTTGTCGACGCCCTCCATAGGAGAGGAATTTATTCTTCCAGTTTAAAAGTCGAGATTTAAGCTTTAACATAAGGGGATTAAAATCGAGTACCTTCAGTCGAACCGGAGAAAGAGGAACTCCCAAGTAACGAATAGGGAAAATCCCTGGCCGAAAAGATAAACCATCACGTATAAAAGTTTGAACCTCCGTTGCTACATTCCCGAAAAACACCTCACTTTTCTCCAGACTTGGCGACAATCCTGATCGTTCTTCAAACAATAGAAGGCCACGTTTGATGACTTCCACATAAATAATGTCCCCCTTAGAGAAAATAAACAAATCATCAGCAAAGCATAGATGAGTCAACTTAATATCCGCACAACCTTRATGATACGAAAAATTTGCCTCCTCCTCAATACACTTCGATAGAAGCATTAAGAGACCCTCCATAACAACAGTAAACAGATAAGGGGAGAGAGGATCTCCTTGACGAAGGCCCCGTTTACCATGAAAAAAACCCTCCGACTGTCCATTAACACAAACAGAATAAGAGGGTGAAGTGATCAGGGTCTTTATCCAGTTAATCATGACTGGATGAAAACCCATTCCCTGCAGCATCTCTAAAAGAAATTGCCAATCAACTGTGTCATAAGCCTTACAAGTATCTATCTTAAAAGCACATTTTGTTTCCCCTTCAGAACGCTGATATCCAGCGACCAGTTCATGCGCCATTAAGATATTATCAGTGATTTGACGCCCAGGAATGAACGCAGATTGAGCCTTGCTAACAAGAACATCCAGCGATCCTTTCATCCGGTCAGCAATAACCTTACTAATACACTTCAACAACACATTACAACATGCAATTGGCCGATAATCAGTAACACAAGAAGCATTAGGAACCTTTGGCACAAGACAAAGAAGAGTATGGTTCAGCTGATACTCCAAAGTTCTAGAATAGAAGAAATTATGTATCCCAATGAGAACATCCCTACCAACCACATTCCAAGCTGCTTTAAAGAATTTAGAAGAATACCCATCAGGGCCTGGGGCCTTTTCATTYCCAATGSCAAACAAAGCATCCTTTATTTCCATATCMGAAATAGGACGGATTAARTGTAGAGAATCCGATAACGATAAAGAATGACCAAACACACAATCCCCCATAGAGGGAGGAACCAAAACATTAGAGGTACCTAGAATACCTTGAAAATGGGAAAGGAAAGCTGTAGATACCTCCTGATGATCATAAACTGTACCAGAAGAATCCCTTATAGTAGCAATATGGCTCCGATTGTTCTTTTCTTTCATAGCATGAAAAAAGAATTTAGAGTTACCATCCCCTTCATTGAGCCAAGATATCTTCGCTTTTTGACGAGCCATTTCCACTTGATCATTTCTAGCTTGTTGATATGCTAACAAGAGGTGAGCAATGTCCTCCTTCAGCAAGTCATTAAACGGGTCTAGATCACAAGCCAATTGAGCAACATCAAGTTCCGTCTTTAACTGAACTACCCTTTTATCCAAACAACCATACGAATTTCGAAGACGCCGACAAACCACCTTCAGAGCTTGCAATTTCCGAAGCACCCTCTTCATATAAGATCCTCTCTGAGATTTCGTCCACACCTCCTCCACAGATGCAAGGAAATCCTTATGAGATGTCACAAAATTATCAAACTTAAAGCCACGCTGTCGAAGACATCTACCAACTTTAAAAGAAAGAATACCCGGAGAGTGATCAGATATCTCCCTCGGTTCAAAGAAAACCGAAGCATCCCCAAATCTAGAGATAAATGCAGAATTTCCCAGGATACGATCATGTTTGCGCATAACACCATCTCCCCCCGAAGGTTTCTGTATCCAAGTAAATTGGCATCCTTGATACGAAATGCCAAACAATTATGCCTCTTCCAGACAGAGATGAAACTCCCCCATGTCAGAATTTCTCCTAGAGGAACCCCCCAACCCATCATGAGGAAAAAGCATTGAATTAAAATCACCCATTGCAACCCATGCTTTCCTTTGATTAAACACATGAAATTCACCAAACACCCGCCAAATCTCACGCCTTTCCATACCCGTATTACACCCATAAACAAAAGTAATAAAAATAGGATCAAGTTGACCAAAAATCCGAATTTCACAGTGGATATATTGTTGGTGCTGCTCAATCATAAGAACAGATAACACTGACGGATCCCAAGCAATAATTAGGCGAGTGCCTTGATCACATATAGAACCATTTGTAATCCAACTCCAATTACCAAATACACTACTACACACATCCCCCCAGTGATTATGAACAACTTTGGATTCAATAATGCAACATAAAGAAAGATGCTTGAGATTAATTAAATCACGTACCTCCTTCCGTTTGATAAGGGCATTTAAACGCCTAATATTCCATGCGGCGAACTTTATCATTGAGACGAAGAAGKTGTAACATCCTCTCCTCGTTTTGCCATAATGTGCCCCTCTGTATCAATGATCTCCATATCGTCATCATCATCACTAGAATCKTCAKAAGATAAAGAAGAAAACCGATTACTAGTATGCAAATCATGAATTGCGCCTCTCCTTGGTTTAAAAGCTTCCACCACCTTTTGCACTAACTCCGGATCCCCTTTTGATAAAAAATTTACGTTGGAAATGTCATCTCTTCCCCTTGGTGTTCGTCCCCGCATCCACCGTACATAACTGACCGTCCACCTTTCTGACATCCTTCCCTTCCAAATTTGTTGAATCCCCAGAACGTGGAACATTTTTGTCGTTTGTACCATCCCCCGGGAGATTCGACACCTCCTGAACCCGTTTTAAAATGCCAACCCCATTTTAAGTATCATGCTTACCTGAGGCCGCACCCGATGAAGTTGCCTGAAAATCCTTAAGTCCTGATTTATCCTTCTGCCTCCACTGTTTACGTCTGATATCTTTAAACCCCCCCTTTTGCAAGAAAGTATAAGAAACCTTTGGCTTTGCATTATCCCCTTTCATACATGACACCGTACGATGACCAAAAACTTTGCAAATCAAACATTGGGAAGGAACCCAATCATATTCAAGAACTACATTAAGGACATCCTCTCCAGTACCCGACAGCCTTGGAATAACCACTTCAATATTCCTCTGTATTTCACCCACGGCCCAAACATCCACCAACACTTTAGCAAAGTTAGTTCGACCCCATGCTTTATCGCAAGTGCTTGCAGTGCAAGCATCCAAATGCAATGGAACGCCTATAGTGCTAGCAATACGACTAATACCCTCTCTATTGAATGCAACAAGAGGGATATTAAAAAACTTAACCCACAATGGGCAAGAGTTGTGCTCAGGCTTCTAAAGGCCCTTGGAGGGATCCCAGAAAGAGACAAACATCGGCCTCCCTCTAATCATGAGGGGAGACGTCTCAATTACTTGGTTGCACCCACCATCATATCATTAAAACGAAAAAAGAAATAACCCATATCATTAACCATAGCATCAAGAAGACCAAATCTTCCCCAAGCATTCTGAATCGCACGTAAAACAATGGGGAAAGGAAGACGAGGACCAAGAAAATAACCATAGAGAACCGATTGAAACGATTTGGCCATACCTTTTGTAACATCCAAGGGAAAACAGATCCGCGGTTTCACACTCTTCTCAACCGGAAAATAAGTAAGTTCTGTCGAGGTAGTACCACCCACAATTTCTGCAAAGGATTTTTGAGGTACCACACAATGATCACCCCTAACCGCTGGAGAAAGACGTTCCCATACCGACACCCTCGGATTTGATCCAGCATTTACTCCAGCCTTCTTCTGTAGACCCTCATGCAAAGGAGGACCTTCATCTGTATCGGTGACGCTTTTTACTGTCTTTATAAAATTGCCTGGGGAAACTTTTCCCCTTTCAGTAGGAGCTAATGAGACTAGTTATGACCTAGTAAGTGTAGTTTCGACCCAAATGGACTTATTAAGGAGAAGTGGGCACATTATATCCACTTATACAAAATGGACTCATTGTACCTCAATTACTCACATTTACCTCTAATTAGCCTAATTATGACCCATTTAGTACCACTATAATTCAATTTCTCCTGATCCGACTATGCCTGAAGATGTTTTCATGCGTAAACTCTCTTTATTGGAAGCTAACCATATGATCCGTCCGATTCAAAACGAAGAAATTAAATATGTTATGTTTAGCATTGGTAATTATAAAGCGCCAGGTTCTGATGGGTTTTCTCTAAGACAGGGTGATCCTTTATCCTATGGTTTCTTTCTTGGTGGGCGGGGTCTAAGACAGGGTGATCCTTTATCCCCCTATTTGTTCACGATTGTTATGGAGGGTTTTTCTATGCTCCTTAAAAAATGTATTTGCGAGGCTGTTGACTTTGGGTACCATCAGGGTTGTAAGGAGCTGGATTTGACACATTTATGTTTTGCGGATGATTTGTTTGTCTTTACTAAAGGGGATGTTCTTTCTGTTGAAGTGCTTAAAAAAGCACTGGTTCTTTTTCAGAACTGTTCGGGATTAGCGCCTAGTCTTGAAAAAAGTGACGTTTATTTTGGTAATGTGCCTCCCAACATTAAGGAGGCTATTCCAGAGTGTCTTCCTTTCAAGCTAGTTACTTTTCCGGTCCGATATTTGGGGGTCCCTTTATCGCAGTCTCGGTTGAAGGTTTGTGACTATGCTCCGTTGATTGCTAAAGGGAAGGGTCGTATACTTAATTGGAAATCCAAGTTTCTTTCGTTTGGAGGAAGGCGTCAGCTCATTATATCGGTTCTCCAATCTCTTCGACTTCATTGGATGTCGGTATTCTTATTCCCGTCTGGCCTAATCCATGATCTCGAATCTATTTTTCGGAAATTCCTTTGGGCTCCAAGGGAAGATCCTCGTGGTAGATGTCGGTTATCTTGGGATGTGGTATGTCGACCGCTTGAATCTGGGGGTCTTGGAATTAAGAGATAATCTACTTGGAATAGGGCTTTACTTGCAAAACATATGTGGGATATTGTAAGGCACCGGGATTCTATGTGGGTTCGTTGGATTTATAGTAATAATCTCCGCTCATCGAACTTCTGGCTGGTGCGAAAGAACTCAAATTGGTCATGGGTTTTTCGTAAACTTTTAGACTTGCGTAGTCATTTGATACGGTTCCTCCTCTCCCAAATTGGTGATGGTCGGGATACGAATGCTTGGGAGGATGCTTGGTTAATCTGTGGTCCTCTTTCCGCTTTTATCTCTTACCGGTTTGTCCATTCATGTGGGTTCTCTACTTTAACGACGGTTCGTGATCTTATTATGTGCTGGAATGGTGTGTGGCCTGATGATTGGTGTCAAAGGTTTACAGTGCTTCATACTTATCCGTTACCTTTATTGACCTCTGTTCGTGATAAAGTTCTATGGGGGGACGATTATAATGCTTGTTCGGATTTTACGGTGGGTAATGCTTGGGCTTCTTTAGAGGGAAATCATCCTGTGGTCTCTTGGTCTAAATCGGTATGGTTCTCGGGCCATATTCTGAAGCATGCATTCTGTTTATGGTTGGCTTGTCAGAGAAGGCTTCCTACTCAAGATCGTTTACATTGGAAGGATGAACCACCGGATTTGGAGTGCTTGCTTTGTGGTCAATGTATGGATAGCCATGAACATTTATTCTTTCAATGTTCGTATGCTGGGGATGTATGGACTAGCATCTTGCATAGTACGGATCTGAAGGATATGCCGTCTAGGTGGGATCAGATTTTAGAAGCTATCTCGGATTCTAATCGTCGTCCGAAATTATTAAAGCAGAAGCTTGCGGTGGCAGCCACTGTTTATTATATTTGGCAAGAATGAAACAGAAGACTCTATACTGAGGATCGCCGCACGACTCTGCAACTTATTACAGTTATTAAGGATTCTATCTCCATTCGTGCGGAGTGGTTGGTGCGTTGCCGTGTGCGTAATTTGGGTTGACATGAAGATCTGTTTTTGGTTTTGGGGAGCTTTGGTCTGGGTTAAGCTTCTCTTTTTTATCTTTTGTTGTTTGTATGCTTCTTGTGGGCTTTGTTTCTTTTGGCTTGTTGTGGCTTGGTATGGGGTGTTTTCCAAGGCCATGGGGTTTTGGCTGTAGGTTGCGGTCTGTCCGTTTTCTGTTTTCGTTGTAATTCTCTTTAATGCGTTTATAAATTTGCCTGGTTTCCTTTCAAAAAAAAGGCCTGATCAAACTAAATATGACCAAATTAGTGTCATTTTGTGTCAATTAGACTCCTTATGCAGAAATGGGCCAATAAATCCATTAGGGTCATTAAGGTCTGATCAAACTAGGATCTAAACTGGACTTGACCGCACGTTGACTTTTTCTCTCTAGGGTTTGTGAGCAAGAATGGTGAAGTATGAATCGTTCAATGTGGTTTGATGTTTGATGCATGTTTTCTTCACGTTTTGCTTGCATTGGTTCTTCATGCATTTCGATTGCCTTGATTCTTCTTTGTGTGTGGTGCCGTTTTTGAAGAATTAGGGTTGCGTTCTTCATTGCATGGTTTCTCTTCGATCTGCGTGGTTTCTGTTTTGCCGCTGTGATTTGTTGATCAAGTCAGCTGTTTCCAGGGCGGGGTTTGCATTGGTCTACGGTTCTGCTGGTGTAGTCGTTAGGGTTGCATGCTTTGTTTGTACCCTAGTCGGCGGCTACTAGGTTTTCTGCCTTTCGGTACGTTCCTTTCTGATTATTTTTGGTAGGCGGTAACTAGGGTTTTCCGATCTTGGTTGCCTTGCTTATGTGATCCCGATCTGTGGGCTGCTGTTTAAACCTTGGTTGCGTACTGTGGTGGTTCGTTTTGGTTGAGGGATTGTGATTTTATGTGATCTTATTATAATGATCTGTGGTTCAGGGTCGGTCCTAAGATTTTTAATGCCCTGTGCGAAGATAATAAAAAATGCCCCTAAGCCTATTTTTTTAAGCCAATGAAACAACGAAACATGTGATTTTTTAAAGAGTTTAACCTATTCAAATAAGTATCTCATCCCCATGTTGATTTTTATTAATTATAATAAAAAATACAATTGGAGGACATAAAAACCAAAACCCCGATTACAAAAATGGATAAATAATGGATTAAGATCGTGTTTTCCTCTTTTTCAGTTTTCCCTTTTATAAATTGAAATTAGTAAAATAAAAACTTTATTTTAATATATGAGACCTAAAAGACAAGGTTCACTATAATTAGTTTTTAACTAAAATAGTAAATTACAATCAAATTACTGTCATAGTGAGCAAAACGTAAAACTCAAAAATTACAAGTCTAATGACTAAAGGCTAAGGGTCTATGTTAGCAACTTAATAAGTTTAATGGAACTAACAGCTTATTTGGTCAACTATGTATGACTATTTTGTAGTGGCTTAATGATATAGAAAGTAACTTATCCAGTAAACTTCTAGGGGGAGCTTTATATAGAAAGCCAATTTTTTTTCCAAACATGTCTCTTCCAAGTAAAAAAAAATGCTCCTTACATATGCGAAAAAACTCTCTTAAACAAAAACTTTTCCAACTTATTACAGATTAATTCAAACAGACAACTTTATTCATGCAGACAACTTTATACAAACAAAAACTTTTCCAACTTTCCAACTTTTTCCAACGATGTGCATTCAGTATTCATCACTACTAGGCCTCGGGCCTGTTTTTATAATTAAAGCTTAGTTGTCCAATTCCCAAATTATTAAACCCAAAACTAGTAATATATGATAACTTGATGCCCTTTTGTACTTTGATGCCCTGTGCGACCGCACGGGCTGCACGTGGCCAGGGCCGGCCCTGCTGTGGTTTTTTATCACTGTTGAGGTTTGGTTAGTTGCGATCTCATTCTTGGTCTTCCAGCCGTTTTTGAGTTATAACGGCTAGGGTTTCTAAGGAGAAGGGTTTGCTGTGTCTGCTGTTTTCGACGATCTGTGTGTTCTACCTGTTCTGGTGATCATTGCGAGTTTTTGGTTGCTGTGAGGGTAGTCTCTTTGGTCTCGTTGCTGCTGTTTTTATTACGGTTTTGCTGCTGTCCCTAGCGTTTGGTTCTGGGTGTGATTTTCTGCTCCTGCTGCTGTGATTTTGTAAAGTTGGCGTTCCTCGTGAATATTCTTTTCAGTCTATTTCTGGCTGATCTGGTTTTGTGGCTTTTTCACTGCTGCTGTGTGTCGGGTGCTGCTGTTCTATTGTGCAGCTGTTAGAAAGCAGTTTCTTCTTTCGCGGGTTTAAGGTAATCTTTTCTATTTCCATTTCATGCGTTAATTTTGTGGTCTTCGTTGCTCTTGGAGATTCTCTTGGTACATATTCAGCACTTCGGTTACGAGGTCTTCGTCTATTTATCAAGAGTTCTTTAAAAGGGTTTTAGCATCACGGATTATTGTTTGTGGAATGGGAACAGTGAATGATTCCCCTTTACCCGTTGATCCCCCTCGGGTTTCGGTATTTGAGAGACTTTCTTCCCGTGAAGATATGTTGGGAGGCAGTCAACATATTGATAATGAGGCTAATGAGAAATTAAATTTTGCTAAAGCGGTTGGCCATTCTGTGGCCACTGATCTGAATTATTATCCTCTCGCGGACAAAATCAAGTTAGTGTATCTATCCCTCTTGAAATGGCGAAGGAAGCCGCAAAAGCCTATAATTCTGTTTTATATGGATATTTCTTGGGACCTCGTATCCCATTTCCGCTTGTGAAAAATTTCGTTAAAATGGCGTGGGGAAAATTTGGATTTTTGGACGCGATGCTTAATGAGAATGGTATTTTTTTTTCTTTAAATTCAATGATGTTGGTGGATGTGAGCAAGTGATTGAGGCTGGCCCGTTGATGATTAGAGGTGTTCCTTTATTTGTCCATCGTTGGGATCCTTCCAAAGGGTTGAAGAAACCGGAACACTCTTCATGTCCGTTATGGGTGAAACTTCATAATATTCCTTTAGTTGCTTTCAATAAAGAGGGGGTTAGTCGTATTGCGAGTGTCTTGGGTATTCCTAAGCAAATGGATTCTTGCACTGCATCAATGTGTGAAAAAACTTGGGGCCGCCCTGGTTTTGCTAAAGTTCTTTGTTGAGGTTTGGGCTGTGGGTGATCTAAAACGGAAAATCGATGTTGAAATCCCAAACATAAATGGTGGAGAAGCTAAAAGTGTGCAAATTCAAGTAGAATACTTATGGGAACCGATTCAATGTTCCCATTGTCAAATCTTTGGACACAAACTTTCGTCGTGTGTTAAAGCGGCTAGTTTGAATAAAGGTAAACAAATTGAGGGTCGAAAAGATACTGATGGTTTTACTAGAGTGGCGAAAAAACAATGGCGGGTTAAAGGTGGAGGTAAAGCCAATCATTCTAATGGTAGGACTGATAATGGAAGAAAGGAATCACGCCCTCATGAGGTGTCTTTGGGAGCGAACGTTGTTAGTCAAGAAAGAGAAATAGAAGAGACTATGATTTCTAATAATGTAGAGTTGATGGATCCTCCTATGCCAGAGGGAAGGGATGCATTGGGTGAATCAGGTAAGAATAATTATGGGCCGTCATCTTCATCTTCTAAGTCTTTGCACCATGCTATGTCTACTCCTACCCCACTTATATCTTCTGTGATTAAAAATTTTCGGTTGCCAAGACGGGGGGTTGTGATAAACCAGGTTGATTCTAATCGGTTTGGTGTTCTTGAGACTTTAGGGGAAGAGACTTCTCGGGTGGACTCTCATGGATGAGGTGGTCAATGATCTGACTGACGTTCAGGGGGATAATCGGAATAATCGGTAGCATGGAGAAAGTCTAAACCCTTCCTCATGATGAAATTTGCGTCCAGGAATATCTGGGGGATTAATTCTTCGGTTAAACAAAAAGAGGTGCGGAATTTTATTCATTGTAATGATGTGTGTTTATGTTCCATTGTCGAATCACATGTTTCTAAGGACTCTCTTGAAAGTGTTTGCTATAATTCTTTCGGCCAGTGGAATTGGGTTTCTAATCAAACTATGAGTGAGTATGGCACTCATATAATCCTTGCTTGGGATGCTCGAGTTTTAGATGTCATGGTTTTAGAGGCTCATAGTCAATACTTAAATTGTAAGGTGCTTGTTCGGGGTAGTCAACATTATTTTTTCCTGTCTTTTGTTTATGGGGCTAATGTTTGTAATGCCCGTCGTGCTTTATGGTCGGGGTTGCGGAAATTTAAAGTGCTCATTGGTTCTTCCCCGTGGGTTGTAATGGGGGATTTCAACACCATGTTATTCCCTCATGATGGTTTTGGAGGCTCCTCTCGTCGTAACTTGGATATGGCTGATTTTCATGCGTTTGTTGAGGATGTGGAAATATTTGATTTACATTATACGGGTGTCCATTTCACGTGGAACCAAAAACCGAACTCTTCGGGGGGTATCATGCGTAAACTGGATAGAGCTATGGGCAATGATGAATTCACGTCTGTTTTTCAAGATATTTGATTTACATTATATTAGTGTTCTTTCAAATGCGGCATTCGGAAAAAAAAAGGTATGGGTTTAAATTTGACAATTTCTTGACTGAACATCCAGGTTTTCTTGAAGTTGTAAAGGATGAATGGGCAAATAATATTGAGGGTTCTTTTATGTTTCGAGTGACTTCTCATTTGAAGGCTCTGAAGATTCCTCTTCGGAAACTTCGTCATTCTTATGGCAACCTTGGTCAGCGTGTTGCCTTTTTGAAGACTGAACTTGATCGTATCCAATTGGATGCTGATAATGATCCTTCTAATGTTGAGCTAGGCCAAGAGTTGGGTCATATTCGTATTGCGTACCAAAATGCATGTCGGGATGAGAATTGTGTCGCGAAACAACGTGCCAAAATTGCATGGTTGAATGAAGGTGACTTCAATACCAAATTCTTCCATAGAGTGATTAAAGAACGGCATCATTACAATTCTATTCAGTCTGTGTGTACAAGTGATGGAGCTTATGTCTATGGTGATGATGTGCCTAATGTTTTTGTGGATCATTTTAAAGATTTTCTGGGTACGAGGTATGTCTCTCCTGATCCGACTATGACTGATGATGTTTTCATGCGTAAACTTTCTTTGTTGGAAGCTAACCATATGATCAGACCGATTCACAATGAAAAAATTAAAAATGCTATGTTTAGCATTGGTAATTATAAAGCTCCTGGTTCTGATGGGTATTCTTCTAAGTTTTTCAAAGAGGCTTGAGACATCGTAGGCCGTGATGTGGAGACTGCAATTCACAATTTCTTTTATCGAGGTAATCTCCCAAAGAACTTGAATCATACRCTTTTATGTCTTATCCCTAAATCTATTAATGCTTCWAAGGTTACGGATTACCGGCCTATAGCATGCTGTACTGTGCTTTATAAATGCATTAGTAAGGTCATTGTTAATAGAATGAAGGGATCTTTGGATTTTTTTATTGATAAAGCTCAATCGGCTTTTATTCCGGGGAGAAGGATTACGGATAATATCCTTATGAAGCATGAGCTTGTGTCTGGTTATCAATCCACTATGGGTCCGCCTTGTTGTGCGTTCAAAATTGATATAAGAAAAGCTTATGATACGATGGATTGCCGGTTCCTTATTGTTATGCTTGAAGGTTTGGGGTTTCACCCTGTTATGGTTAAGTGGATAAAGGAGATGATTTCGACTCCTTCTTATTCTTTAGCCATCAATGGTAATTCCTATGGTTTCTTTCTTGGTGGGWGGGGTCTTCGTCAGGGTGATCCGTTGTCCMCCTATCTGTTTACGATTGTTATGGAGGGATTTTCTCTGCTCCTTCAAAAGTGTATTCGGGAGGCTGCTGAATTTGGTTACCATCGGGGTTGTGAGGACTTGGATTTGACTCATTTATGTTTTGCGGATGATTTGTTTGTCTTAACCAAAGGGGATGTTCTTTCTGTTGAAGTGCTTAAAAAAGCTCTGGCTCTCTTTCAGCAATATTCGGGATTAGCGCCTAGTCTTGAAAAAGTGACATTTATTTTGGTAATGTTCCTCCCAACATTAAGGCGGCTATCCTATAATGTCTCCCCTTCAAGCTAGGTATTTTTCCTGTTCGATATTTAGGTGTTCCTTTATCGCAATCTCGGTTGAAGACTTGTGACTATGCTCCGCTGATTGCTAAAGTGAAGGGCCGTATTCTTAATTGGAAATCTAAGTTTCTTTCGTTTGGTGGACGGCGTCAGCTTATTATATCGGTTCTCCAATCTTTTCAGCTTCATTGGATGTCGGTTTTCTTATTCCCGTCTGGTATCATTCATGATCTTGAATCTATATTTAGGAAATTCATTTGGGCTCCAAGGGAAGATTCTCGTGGTAGATGTCGGTTATCAGGGGATGTGGTTTGTAGACCATTGGAATCTGGGGGTCTTGGAATTAAGACTATCCACTTGGAATCGGGCGTTACTAGCAAAACATGTGTGGGATATTCCTAGGCGACGGGATTCTATGTGGGTTCGTTGGATTTATAGTAATAACCTCCGTTCTTCGAATTTCTGGCTGGTTCGTAAGAATTCTAATTGGTCTTGGGTTTTTCGTAAACTATTAGACTTGCAGAGTCATTTGCGTCGGTTTCTCTTTTCTCAAATTGGTGATGGTCGGGACACGAATGCTTGGGAGGATGCTTGGTTACCTTGTGGTCCTCTTTCCGCTTTTATCTCTTACCGGTTTGTCCATTCATRTGGGTTCTCTACCTTAACGACRGTTCGTGATCTTATTATAAGCTGGAATGGTAATTGGCCTGATGATTGGTGTCAACGGTTTGATATGCTTCATAATTCTCCGTTACCTTTATTGACCTCTGTTCGTGATAGAGTTCTATGGGGGGACAATTATACTATGTGTTCGGATTTTACAGTGGGTAATGCTTGGGCTTCCTTAGAGGGTAATCATCCTGTTATCCCCTAGTCTAAATTGGTATAGTTCTCGGGTCATATTCCGAAGCATGCATTCTGTTTATGGTTGGCTTGTCAGAGACGGCTTCCGACTCAAGACCGTTTACATTGTGGTCAATGTTTGGATAGTCATGATCATTTATTCTTTCAATGTTCGTATGCTGGAGTTGTATGGAATAGTGTTTTATTTATGGTGGATCTAACGGGTATGCCTTCAAGGTGGGAGCAGATTGTTCAAGTTATTTCGGATTCTATTAGTCGTCCGAAATTGTTAAAGCAGAAGATTGCTGTGGCTGCTGCTGTTTACTATATTTGGCAGGAGCGTAATCGAAGACTTTTTTCTGCAACTAAGCGTACGGCTCAGGATCTTATTGCCGTTATTAGGGAGGCTATCTTCATTCGTGCAGATTGGTTGGCAAGTCGTCCTGTGGTTACTTATGGTTGACGTGATGACTTGGTTTTGGTTCTGGGGGGCTTTGGTTTGGGTTAAGCTTCTCTTTTTTATCTTCTGTTGGCTTTTTGTTTCTTATGGGCTTTGTTTCTTTTGGCTTGTTGTGGCCTGGTTGGGGTGTTTCCCTCGGTCTTGGGGCTCCTGGTTGTAGGTTGAGGTCTGTCTGTTTTTTGGTTGCGTTGTAAACCTTTTTATTACATTTTATAAATTTGCCGAAGTTTCCTTCAAAAAAACACACAAAATGGACTCATTGTACCTCAGTTACTCCCATTTACCTCTGATTAGATTAATTATGACCCACAGAAATACCATGTGGGTCTCTTGGATTCAGTCTCATTGTATTCGGAGCCGAAACTTTTGGGTTATCAAGAAGAGGAATGAATGGTCGTGGATTCTCCGGAGCCTTTTAGACTTACGTTCTCAATGCAGGAGATTTTTTATCTACAATGTGGGAAATGGTTTATCTACGCATGCCTGGGAAGATACGTGGAGTGAATTTGGGCCCCTTATTCAGTTACTGTCTTATAGATTCTTAAATGRTCATGGMTTTTGTAATAACTCAACGGTTTCTGATGTAATGCAACGTTTTGGCACTACTTGGCCGGTGGATTGGATTCAACATTACCCTCAGCTGCAAAGTATTATCATACCTTCTCCCAGCCAAATGGAGGATACGGTTAGATGGCTTGATGCTAAACTTTCTCGGGGAAATTTGAGGTCAAAGTGGCATGGCAAACTGTTCAAGAAGTGAGGCCGATTGTGCATTGGTACAAGCTGGTATGGACTAAAGCATACATACCTAAACATGCTCTTTGCATGTGGATGGCTTGTCAAAATAAATTACCAACTCAAGATCGCATCAGTCAGTGGAAGAATGAACCGCCGGATTTGAAATGTGTGTTCTGTAAATTAGTGATTGAAACGCACAATCACTTATTTTTCGAATGCAATTACTCAAGTAGTATTTGGGAGGTCATTAAAAAGGAAGTAGGGTTAACGAACTGTTTGAACAATTGGGAGGATATTCTTAACAAGGGTTTAGCTCAACGATGGAAATCTTGGTCTACTGTTCAAAAACTTGGTATATCGGCCACGGTTTACCACATATGGAGGGAAAGAAACAGGAAGTTCTTTGATAACTTCAATCATACAGGGGACAAAGTTGTTGCGGAGATCAAGATGCAGATTCTTCAACGTATGGCTTGGAAGACTAGGAAGAAGCAGAAGATTACTAATGCTATGTGATTTTGTGGGTGGTGTGGTTTCTCGGTTTGGGCTTTTGTGGGTTTGTTTCGCCGTTTATTCTTCGGCTTGCGTTCTTTTTATGTTTTGGTGTACTTCTCTTTGTCATTTTTGGCTTCTTATGGTTTGGTTTGTAAGTCAAAGTTGCCGTAGTTTTTCTTGCTTCTTATGGTACGGTTTTCTTGTTTTATTCTGGATCTTATGTTTGTAAGTGCTCGGATCTGCTTGGCGTTTTAGCCGACTTGTTCTCGGGCTCGACCAAGGTTTGGTGCAGCTAGGGTTTTGTTTTCTTTTAGGGTTTCTATGTTGGCTGTTATTTGCTTGTTCTGCTGGCTCTTGTAACTGTCGACTAGGTGTCGTGGTGGGTCAAGGCTTGGACTAGGGTTTTTAGTGGAGCTCTGGTTTCAACCTACTTTGGTGCCATTTTGTCCAGCGGTTTTGATCCAGACGCGATCTGCTGTGTTCTCGTGTTTCTGCAGCAGTTTGTTCTACCTGTCGCTGTTTTTACTGTTTGAGGTTTTGCTGTGATTTCCTATGATTTTATGTGGAGAATGCTGGGTTTTCATTAGTTGCTGTCTTGCTGCTGGTTTTCCTGATCTGCTGGTCGGGTTTTTTTAGTCTTCGTCGCTGTTGGCTGGGGCTGTGATTTTATGTGGGTATTACTGCTTCACGTTTATACTATTCGACCTGCTGGCTTGACTTGTTGTGCTAGTTGTTCACGATTAAAGTCTGTACTGGTTATTTTCTGTTGTCCTGGGCTGCTGGTTTTTCTTTCGTTGCTGCTGTTTTGGTTGTGGGACTGTTTTTTTTTTTTTTTTTTTTTGAAGGAAAATATCGGCAAATTTATAAAGCGCAGAAAAGTTTTACAACGACCTAAAACAGAAAGACCGCAACCTACACCAAGAATACCCAAGTGTTTCTGTGGTCTTCGTCTCCTTTGTTAAGTTTATTGATAGAGTATTCAGCACCTTTTCTAAGGTCTTCGTCTACTTTATTGATACTGCTTGACTAGGGATTCAGCGCCACGACTTCTTGATTAGGGTTATAGTAGACTAGGTATTCTTGCCCTTTGGTAAGGATGTCTGATTTTGCGGATGTTATCTTGGAAGATGATTCACCTCAGGATTTTGCTGATGTAATTTTGGATAAGTCGGATCCTAGAATGGTAGGTCCTCCGTTGCATAAGGGTCTACAGAAGAAGACTGGAGTAAATGCTGAATCAAATCCGAGGGTGTCGGTCTGGTAACGTCTTTCTCCAACGGTTAGGGGTGATCACTGTGCGGTGCCTAAAAAGTCATTTGCAGAAATTGTGGGTCGTACTATCTCGACAGAACTTTCTTATTTTTCGGTTGAGAAGAGTGTGAAACCGCGGATCTGTTTTCCCTTGGATGTTACAAAAGGTATGGCCAAATCGTTTCAATCGGTTCTCTATGGTTATTTTCTTGGACCTCGTCTTCCTTTCTGTAACAACCCCAAATCCATACATTGCATATAACACATATTTCATACATAGAATACATGTTTTCCCCACAAAGG